AATTATTTTAGAAACTATAGAATTTATTTTTATTTAGATGAAATATTTTAATAATTTCGGTTTCATCTGAATCTACATGATTGGAAATAGTTTAATTGAAATGTCAGTTTAGATGCACTACGGCTATATTATAGATGATATATGTAAATGAAATGTAATGACGTTCACGGTATACGAACATCCATTACAGGAGTGCTCTAATATCAGAATGTAGTGTTACAGATGTGTATGTCCATTCTGTTATTTGAACAGAGTGTCCCTTTTCAAGCAACGGCTGCTTTCAGCTGTTTCAAGTTATGCAGGGTTAACATACAATATATACAACTGACTGCTGCAACAAACTACTTTTACGTATACTCATAAAGTGATTCCACCGATCAGATAAGAACTGTGAGGGTTGTTGTAACAAAGAATATGTATGTTTAAAGCAATAAAGTAATTTCACTTTGATCAAACTGGTAATAGTAACGAAATATCTTAAACATTACCTACATGAAATATATTAGTACAGAAAAATAATGAAAATATACCTTTTGACGTAGAAGGTGAAAAATTGTATCGGATAATGTATTCAAAATTAAAGTTTTACTTTAAAAAAAAATGCAACTGCACCTTGTAACTGCACCGATGCACAAAAATGCGTAAAAGTTTCATAGAAATATGTAAGTTTAATACCATTTAGTTTTGTCCTACGACATTTTTTTCTATCTTCAATCCTTTCAAGAGTATAGCCGGGGCCACCTCAGTGGGACACTCTGTATGATGTCTAATATAACTAATTGTAAAACCAATTATTTTCACAAGTGTAATAATTGCAGAGACGGGTAAATATTCTCAATAACAATGGAACCAACCTTTGTAACACGTATAATTTACTTCAATCGATTAATCATATTAGCCATTAATGTGAAATTATATTAAGAACAATAACAAATCGTACTGTATCGTTTTTATAAAAGGTACGTTATGTTAAATTTGTGAAACTGCAGTTCGCATATCTACTATATTCTAAATTATGGCACATACAATACAAATCCTTTCTAATGAGAAGTTATAATTATCAATTTACTGGAAGATTTCTACAAAAGAAAAACATTTTTCTGAAGAAAAAGCATTCGGTTTTCGGCGAGCCACCCAATATAAGGAATCAGAAATCAAACAGAGTCATTCGTATGGAACACGTGAGGTCCTTTGTGAAAAATCTGGCTCTATATAAGGGAGCTTCCAAAGGGAAACACGGCGTAGCGGACGTATCCGAAGAGAAAAGCGCAGGAAGGAAGCTCATTTCCGGAAGTCGAGGTGTGTACTGCAAAGCTCTTCCTCTCTGTTTCAACGTGTTCCGTCCTCGTTCTTCACCACCCTGCTTGTAAATCTACGAAATATGTATTATCTCGGATCTGAAAGCCGCGCCTCCACTGAGAAATTGTTTCCATCTGCTCGCGACGCCTCGCCGAAATCTGCCGAAAATCTTTTTCCGCCAGGAACGTAGGCGCAGTCCGTTAGCTCCTGTGAATTTCCACCGAAAGAAACTTCCTCCTTGTTTTATTTTAATTTGCATGCAAACGTCCCGCCGTCAGTGTTTATATGGAAATTGCCTTTTATCTTATCGCCATCGTGTCGGGGAGTGGCATTTTTAAAGTACCGCACCATGCTGCCTGGGCCGATGTTTCTTTTTCCGGGGACGGAAATATGCTTTCTCACGAAGAAACGCCTTTATCTTTGCTCGGACATATTCCTGTTCCTTGTTTTTTCTTGCCTCTCCTACCGCGAATCGTATGCACGCTAACCCTGCATAAGTGTTTAGACACTTCCGCGTTGCTGCACGTTTGGGAAAATAAAGTGACTCTTAATCCCCTTGCTGTAAATGTCATGTTATACTTGTGGCGAATATTTCGAATAAACATTTTACTAATTCCTTCAACGATCAATTATTTACTTTTTTTAGAGAAAACATGTAATTCTTCATCGTTTTGTTTTAGAGTTTGACGAGTATACACATCGTTATTTGATTTAATTGCCAGTACTATCAGAGATTTCTGAAATAAAATTCCACAGTTAACAGGTTAACAAATACAAGTGTCATTTACTTCGATTGTTGATTACTAGTTTTTAATCACTGGTGAATTGCTTGTGGGACTTTTGATTTTTTTTCGTTGCTTTCCATAATGAATGATTTGAGTTCTTAAATAGAGGTACATAAATAATGTACTGGCTAAATTTTAAATTATTAAATACTCTTAACATCTTTCTTAAATTGTTTGTTGCATCATTTAGAATTTTGTTATTCTGTGGTTTTTTACGCTGCCACTTTCTTTTAAACTTTCTTTTCGTTCTTATTTCTACAATCATGTAATTGAAATATTCATATTTGCAATTGAGTAGAAAATCATGCTGTTTCTTGAATATGTAAATTGCATAAATGAAAGAATGAAATTAAACAAATTTGAAAAGAATTATTGATGCTAACAATTCGTAAACATTTAAACGTTTATTTCTCAGTTTTCTAAACACATGCAAAAGCGAACGTTGAAACATTTCTTTGTTTATCGCTGGGAAACGTTGAAAAATAAATTTATTTTTAATTCTGATGAAAATTGCGGTTACTCGCACCACTGAAAAACTTGAATACACTCGAAAATTTGGAAGTAATGATGTATTATTTCATCAATACAATTATCAAAGTGTTAATAGAAACGCATATCGTTAGAAACGTTGGTTGAACGGTGGCAATCATGAGCCTTCAAATAGCCTTAATCGGACCAGCACCCATAGGGACAAGTCCGTTGGTTATGCTAAATCATAATTGAAGGTCCAGATGCCAAGATCAAAGGATCGAGAACGGTGCTTTGATGAAGGATCGTGTATCGGTGCACTCGAACCGATTAGCATCCGAACGTTCTAACATCGGCCCACTTAACGTAATTGCTAATCCTCCGAGAACATAGATCTCCGCATGCCAACCTAATCCGTTAACCTATCAACGAACGCGAAGACTTTCGCTTGGCCACCACTAAGGTGATGAGGCGTTTCCTAGGTATCATATAACTTAAGTATAATTTAATATACAAATCATTCTAAAAGGATACTAGTAAGCTAATAAGCAGAACGCTTTCTTAATTGATATATAGTTTAAATCTACGAAAAACATCTTGACAATTGAAAAATATTAGAACCCCTACATGCATTTATAAAAATAAAAACTTTTGCTTGGCGACCGCTAAGAGATTAATACGCACGATTATTCAACCCTTTTGCTACAATGGACGAAATATCTTGGTAAAATGAAACATTTATTCCGAAAATTACATATTAGTCAACTACGTATTAACTATATTATAATGTAATAACTAAATATGTAGGAACATTAGTTAGGGTAAAAGCTAGCCTAAGTTGGAGTGGAAGCCACAAAATTTAAGAGGGCGAGCTAGTGGGAGAGAAAGATTATTTCCGCAATGCTGGCAGACGGAATCCAATTTTTGAACTTTGGAAATCTGGTTTCCATAGTCTAGACTCATTTTCGACTAAAGATAACCCGGAATTTTCACTAGATCGCTGAATGTGGCCTCCGTCCAGATGAGACCTCGACCCAGGAGTTCCATCACTGCTAAGTCATATGGCTACCCCTGGCCTTCCTGGCAAGTCTGGCCGACGGAATCCGACTTTTGCACTTTGGAAACGTGGATTCCATAGTCTAGACTCATTTTCGACTAATGGTATTCCTATCTTTCCACTAGTCCGCCGGATGTAGCCTCCGTCCCGATGAGACCTCGACCCAGAAGTCCCATCACTGCTAAGTCATATGGCTACCCCTGGTCCTCCTGGCAAATCTGGCCGACGGAATCCGACTTTTGCACTTTGAGAACCTGGATTCCATAGTCTAGACTCATCTTCGACTAATGGTATTCCTATCTTTCCACTAGTCCGCCGGATGTAGCCTCCGGCGCGATGAGACCTCGACCCAGAAGTCCCATCACTGCTAAGTCATATGTCTACCACTCGTCCGCCCGAATCCAGGTTTCGTTCCCCCGGGAGTATTATTTTTAAATGTAGCGGCGAAAATCCTGCTTAATGAAATCGAAGTGCAGACCAGTTTTCTAGGTCGTACAGCCTGGACCATCGATTAAGTGAAATTGGATTATTTGGTTTGTGGACTGGTTCTGTTCAGTCGGAAAATTGACTTGGTTTCCTTGTTTTGAAAATAGGACTCGCACGAAGTCGCATGAGAGTGAGAGAAAGGGAGTGAGATAGCGAGAGAGAGAGAGAAAGTGAGAGAAAGAGTTGTCGAGCGCGAGAAAGAGTGAGTGAGCGCGAGAGTGTGCGAGGGGAATCGCACGTTAGCCAAGCCAGCCTTTGGTTCAAAAGTATTAAATAGCAAGGGGAGCGGTCCACTCGCGGTGCTTCACCCGATAGTAATGAAGGCTCGATTTCGGCACGTCCTTGTTATTGGCCGAGTTGCAAGTTGAGGTAGAGCGTCCGGCCGAATCACCTTGCTTCTCTTCACTTTTGAACGAAACGTCAGCTTGGTTAACGTGGGTCCCCCAGTGAATATAAAGGTGGTTGATGGAGGAGACGGTTTGAGAGTCAATGGGAGAACGAGTACAGTGTGTTAGCGAGCGTGGTTTCCAGAACTCTGGTCATAAATCTTGTTATTCGTTAATCTGTGAGTTTTTATTGTCAGTTTCCACCCATTTGCCCCAGCATTACGTGAGATTTCCATAAATAATTCCTACAATTATATATTGCAACATTATCTTACTGTTGCCGATTACATTAACAATCTTATTGTTAATACTGCCACTTTTAAATAAACACAAGTAAATAAATACGTGTTCAAAACAGTAAATAAATGCACAAGCTTTCGCAGTTAAAAGTGAAGTTACCTTATTGTCACCGGTGGAATAATCTGTACTTAAATTCGTATCGGTGGAGGTTTAACGAAAATCGATCGGCCGTAATCGTTCGTATTAGTTGTTGATGTCTGCAAACGCGTATTTACTTACCCTGCTCCTGCGCCCAATTGATAAGGGATGGTACACGGGCATCAAAACTGGAATAACAGTTCTCGAAGCGTGCAGACGAGTCCAGGCCAACAGTCTCGTAATTGGCTTTAACTCCACAGAGTAGCGCCGTAGCACATGCCGAAGACTCTCCAACTTGGGCGTCCATGTTGTAAGTCTGCAAATGAACGAAAGAGGAAGAGGAACTTTAATTAGTTTGCGACATCGGCTATCCACCGCAGAAACGTTACACGAACACGCGAGCGATGCGAGTGACAGCAAGCATACGCCTGCTTTTGATCGGATTGAAATAACATTGTTATAAATATATCTACATAAACCTTTGAGTAAATGAAAATAGAGTAATATTTGAACAGAATCCACATGTTCTAATTTCTAGACATTTTACTATACTTTAACCTCTCTATACATCCTCCGTTTTATGTTTGTCGGCAGAATAACGCGAGGTTCGCATACGCACAGGTAAATCTAATTTACCACAACATCATTGGTGTATTAAATTAGTGCTTTAATACTCGCTGACGGTGTAGATTAATTAGATAACATGCGCATTAAGAGACACAGCAAATGATCAGAATAATAGTTAACGGCGAATTATGATCGGTTCTTTTTCGTACATTTGCGCGTTATGGTCGGAGATCGCGAGAACGGAATAGGCAGACCGGAAGCTCGGTGATCATAAATCTCGCTGGCATTATCCGCAGGTAGGGCGCCCGCGTAAAATACTGCTGACTTCCGGCGGTTTTCTTATTATTCGAAAACGATACGGGCCACTCGGTCACGGGCTGATCCGAATAATAATACGCCACCATTTTGATTCGGCGAGTCGGAAAATGCCGCGTTTCTAGAAGCTGCAGGCGCGGAAAGAAACTGCGTACAGGCTAATACCTTTATTAAGTAGTACAGGATTAACACGTTGCTGACAGGAGTATAAACTAGAACCTTCTGGAAAGGTGCATTGATATTTGCAGTAACGTAAAAACAGTGATGCTCGTTTAAATTCCACAGAAAGCTGCTCGGCTTAATTTCACTGCACCATCCCTACTCTTCTCCTACTACACATCGTCTCGAGCTCAGTGTAACGTGATCCCAGTAGACAGGGACAGAACATGAATACAATGAGAGGAAGAAAGACAGACACAGATCAAAGAGACGATGCACGCGTCAAGTATAAATATATAACGAAGAAAATTGTAATAATTTTAACTTTACCTTCTCAGTTGGAGTACGAATGGAATGTTGAGACTCTTTTCATTACAATGGGTCCAAACACGACGTGAATCGATCTAGTTTTATCGATTCGGGTCAAATGAACCGTTAATTTCGTTTAATTACATTTAGTCGGTAAAACTAGTCCGATTTCTATCGTGTTTGGACTCATTTTAATCACAACCATCTCAGAAATTCACTGGCACTACATTTGAGAAGGTAAGGTTAAAATTACTGCAATTGAAATTTCCTTCGTTGCATGTTTATATTTGACGCCTGCGGTATCGCTTTGAATTCCGGTGTCTCGACTCTCGATGCTGAGCGGAATCCCGTTTCCGTTGACTATATCGATTCTCTGCCTTTGTCAGGCTGTACTCGAGTCAATTGCTGGAAAGAAATAACTTTACTCTGTCTTTTTTTCTCTCGGTTAAATTCCACTGTTGGGGCAGAAATTGTAGAATTTAAGCGAATATTATTGTAAGTTGAGTTACAAGTACGAACACACTTGACTTTCTTTGAAAGAGACTTTGAAAGAGCTATTTCTTGTAGTAAATTTAAATGCAATATTTATATTTCTACTTTTGATAATAATACAAAGGAAATATTTAGTATTCAGTGTTGAACGTATTTATCTAACAGCTCAATACTATTTTATAGATCCTAGGGTGTATAAAAAGTATGTGTCAAAAGCACTATAGCATCATTGTACACCTTCGGATCGGTGAAAATTTAATAAAAAAATGTCCGTGCAAAATTGACCTAGACCTCAAATTTGACGGTCAAAACTTTTTTTTATTTCAATGTATTTAATGAATTCTCGAGATCGCTGTATGCATAGTGTGCTCATATTCTCAGGTCAAGCGTACTTATTTTCCTGTATTTCATTCTTCTCCTGTTTCACTTTTTCTCCTTTACCATTTAACTCATTCGCATCGCGGAGAGGAATATTCCGCGCACCGTATTGGGATTATAATTATCGAATGTGGAATTATCCGTGGGCTGCAACTGTAAACATCTCATTAGCGGGGTATTGTGGTTGTAAGGGGGATGTCATAAAATTTCGCTACTGGGATTTCCACAGAAACACTCGTTTGCGTCATGAAAATGTATGCTTGTGTCTAAATAAACATAAAAATTACAATTATACTGTGGGGTGTGATTAAATTGGAGGCAATATATGTAGTAATACTTTAATTTTCCTCGTAACAACGAGCGCAGAAACATCCTCCTGAACGCTCTCGCTAAACACGGAAGACTGCTCGCGTAGCTAAACATTCACACATTTATATTATTCATCCCTAATCGTTGTTTCTTTCTTTCTTTTCACCAGCATACTTTTCCACTTTTACCCTGATCCTAGCAATCATAGATAACATTCAAGCAGTCACATAAATACACGCTTCGTTATCGTTGCCGTCACACGATCCATTCGCTTAGTCAAAACACTCTGCTTCGCATTCTTTCAACCACTCGAGATCCTCTAAACTCAGTTACTCGATTTCCCAAACATACCGGCGTACCTTAGTCGCAGGGCGACACCGATCACGCACACAGCAATCGAGCATTTACAGCTTTCAGACAAAGGCAGTCGATTTTCAAAAAATATCGAGCGCCATCTTGTCGCATGTTGACCGCACGCACGCTTCATAAAGTTCACTCGTGTCACGGAACCTGTGCTAATAGATATAGTCTTAAAAGGCAGTATATTTGCGACAAATGTATCAATAATTGATTTTATTAGCAGCAAATTGTACAATTTTAGATCAAACAAAAAATTTGTACAAAAAATTGAATTTATTTTTAGATCCCCGAATGATTAGCGAAAAACTATTAGTTAAAATTTAAAATGGACATTTATTAAATAAATTTGTTATTAATACACATTTAGGTACATTAGGTAACAAACATTTTAAAAAATTCAAAGACCTTCATTTTATAAGCCAAAAACTGAAAAATGAGAAATATCCGATTCGCTCGGGAATATATAGATTGTCCTAGTAACAATATTGGAGCAATCGCATCTGAAAAATGTTATAACGAGAATCGACGTCATCACAGTATCGCATAATAACGTCACATCGTCACAATACGTACTTGGACGTCCCAAAAGTGAACCGACTTTTCAATATCGTTTTGAAACTCTTTCCAACATCGAATATTCTTATATAAAAGGGAAACAACTTTTTTTCTACAAACTTTTATACTGATCAATTACAAACTCTGTTCAATTTATGTATCACTTTCTAAAATAACAATGGGCACTATTATAATGAATATTCTAAATATAATTTTTATATTAATGTTAATATGCTAATATTTAATATATTATTTTAAATTGACCGGATTTTGAAGGAGAATGCAAAAGTGATTAAAACATAATAACGATAGCATGAAGAAACGATGAAAGGAACATTTCCGATTTTCGTGAAGAAAATGCTATATAATTAAAATTTTATAAATATTGGCTTAGTCTTAAATTAAACGATAAAGAAACATTTACTAATTATATTTGGAAACCCTGTAATAAATCAAAAGTCTAGTTTTTGAAATGTTAGATTAATTAATTACATAAAAGGTGTTCTATAAAAAGCGCATTTAAAGTTTGCTTAAGAAGAGAAACGTAATATAATATACACAATCTGTCAGCTACTTCTGGACTATATACTTCACCCTTTTTTTCTCATGGGAAGCGTTTAAAGACGTATTAGCGTTTCTTTGAGCAATGTTTGTTTCCTTTGTTACGTGTTCGTAACTTTTCGCTCAACTCCCATAATTCTTTTGGCATTGTGTTTCACAGCAGAACTTGAAACAATTGGTCCAATTACTGTTCCATTGTTTCGAAAATCTGGAGCAATGGTCTTTATTCAAAATTGCTATTATTAAATAATTAGCAATGAGTTCTAATGAGTTTTAACAGGTCAATACCATAGTAACTTTATATTGAAATTCATGTAACACAAAATACTAGAAATTAATTTCTGTTCATCTTACAGTAAAAGATCCTTGAAATGAATTTAAAGAGTATATCAATATAAGGAAGTCAAAAGTGCCTTTAGACCGATGTTTCTAAAAAAAAACTTTCCTTCGGTAGCTTATCCACAGAAAACATTGTACACCAATTTTCAGCTCTCTATCTCGACCAGAAGGGTAGTTATAGGATAAATAGGGTATATAGCTGAAAGTTAGTATACAATGTTTTCCACATGTAAGCCAGCGCAGGAATGTTTTTCGAGAAAAATCGGTCCAAGGATACTTTTGATCCTCTTATCCTGCTATACCCTTTGCACAAATACGGTCAGCCTAATAATATATTTTGTTACAACATCGACAAGTGCGATAAGGTTTTTACAAGGTGACAGATGATTCAGATTCAGTTGACGAAAGAGTAGATTAAAGTATTTAAGCATGAAACAGATACAAAAATCAAGCAAACTAAATTGACCATTAAATAGAAAATAAATCTACTGCATCAATACAGTTCAATGTTACTACTTTACCAATGATGACAACTTCCAAATGCTGTCTAAATTAAACAGTAACCTTGCATTCAATGCCAGTTCGAATGAACCAATATACCGACAACAAAATCGAACGTATCATCAGTATTAGTCTTCGACATCTTATCAGCCCTGTGATAAGATAGTGTAATATAAAGTCGTACACATTTCCTGCGTAGGTAGTCAGTGCGCGTAGATTGTGAAAACAATGGATGTACAATCGAAGCAGTTTAAGACACAATCAAAAGTGAGCGAAGATCGGTCGACGGACAGTGAGAAACAAAGCGAAACTAACGAGAATGAGTTGAGGATGAAGGAAACGGAACAGAAGCAGCAGGAACGGCAGAAGGCCGAAGAACAGACCGGCGATTCCTCACCGCTTCAGCAGGGCTTGAGTGAAACGGATAGCGTCGCATGCAAAAAACCAAAGTGAGTAATGCTTCTCCATTCCACTTTAACACCAGAACTATGCAGCAGTTAACCTTTTAGCTACTACACGCTGCTATAGTGGCTTTCGTGTATATCATTTTTTTGAACGGTACGCCACTATAATGGCACAATTCTTTCTCTGTCATGCATATCGGTGCACATTTTAGTCTAATCTAACGTGATTGCACAGTGGAAAATTCTATCAGTCTCAAATCGGATTGTTACATTTATAATATGCAGGCCATTATAGTTTTAACGTGATTTCATTGGACTGGAACATACATATGTTCGAATATATTAAGTATTTTTATAGTATTAATTTCATAAAGCAATGAAACAACAGTGCTGGATTTGAATTAACCAGAAACGTTTTCTTGTTCGACACAGTTATGTATATTTTCTTCGCGAAATGATTAATTTTTTAGAATGATTTCTCATTAAAAATACCGTTACCACCTCAGTAATTGTAAAACGGAAAACCTGATGTAGTACAATAGCATTTGAACCGGTAGTTTTCCGGCTTCAAAATCGATCGTCGCGGCCGAACGTATTCCGTCGACACGCGATAAGATTCAATTGACTACGAACCGAGGTAGCCAATTTTCAATGGGTCTCCATTGCTTTACGACGAGTAATGGCTTGGAAATTACACACGAAAATTGCGCAGAGGAAACTAAATACACAGCGCTGTTTATATTCTTTCAAGAGACACTTTACCAGCGTGTTTTACGATGAAATGTAAATGTTATGAATGAATGCCAGGAGCCGAATGAAACTGTCAAAATGATTAATTATATAACTATATATATTAATATATTAATTATATAAAATATAACAAAATATTGACAATTTCATTCGATTCTTAATACATATATAGACTTGGCAGAATGTTTATTACGCTGTCGGGAAAGTAATGATTCTACATGAGAAAATCAGTTAAAAACAAATAATATTTCAATTTTGTTATAAAGGGGCTCCATTTCGCCTGTATATTTGGTTACACATTAATAAAGATCACATGTACTTAACAAATACTGAATTTCGGTTATCTCGAAAAAGTGGTTATAAATGCAACAATTTTGTTGTATGCTTTCGACGTATTTTTTTTATATAGAATCATACATATTTTCCGGATAACAAGATTATATACTAGATTGTTTGTAAATAAACTGCGATCTTTAATAATTCAATACTTATAGCGATATACATATTTCACTCATTATTTTATTAATATCATAGTGTATGTGTAAGGATTGGAAATAAGACACAGGAATATAGAAAAACTAATGAATAACTATGTTTATTAATACTAGAACAGATAATGTTAATTATAAAGAATTAAGGTAATAACGACATACAACTCTACAACTTACTGCCATGAAATCCAACGCACGACTCTCTCTGAGCACGTACACTCTTTCCGACATTCACACTTAAAAATGATTCTTTCCCCTACAATCATTCTTCTCATTCGCACTTTCAATAAATTCTGAAACACACCCCCTCGAAGCCTAACTGCCCCATTGTGCAGGCCAGTTTCCCTCGACCGTTAAGCCGCTTCTTTTATTGCCCTTCGCTCACACTCACCCTCGCATTTACGCTTCTTAACACTAGAACCAGATGGGTCAAAATTACCCATTCGTCATTTATCTTTTCGCAGTAATTGAAAGCATATAAATGTTTCTTCGAGAAATGATTAAAATAGTTGATTTATTAATATACAGATTAAAATATAACTGATATCGTAATCCACGCACTTCTATGGTTTCTATAAAAACCGGACCGTTCAAATTATGTGGAAACAATTGCAAGAAGACTATTGTCATATCTAAATATTTAGTTACGTAGGTAACTACTACTAAATACTAAATAGTAATACTACTAAAATAATTATTACAGTTTTTAGTGAGATAAAACGAGATAATAACGAGGTGAAATCAATATGGTAAAAATGATTATTATTGTTATATTCTAATTTTAGATGAAGAATAACAGAAGTCAAAGAATGAAGAAATGACTCGGATCTTTTTAATCTTTTTAATCTTTTTAATCTTTTTAATCTTTTTAATCTTAAACTTATTAAGCAAAACGGTGTCAACATTAGATTTATATCGTCACGCAGCAGCTCTTAGCATTATTTCAGAATGAAAAAGGGAGCACAGTGTTTTTATATTAATTTTTAGTTCTATAGTACTAATTTTTGTTTACATTTTCCAAAAGTTCGATACGAACATAGTCAAATATTATAACAATTAAAATTTATTTTACATTTTTTCTACGAATTTAACATAGATTCAACGTGTGAACTTTTTTTTACAAATTTATCATATTTATCAGTTCTTTATAATACTTTATTACACGTGAGCTATACAATGGTGACGTGACAATATTGGAATATTTATAAACTAACTATTTCATTAGTTAATATTTGAATTGTATGTAACTTTTTATGCATATTAATTGTGTGTTTCATTTTCAAACTGAAAGAGTTAACTATTGACTTAACTTTTATTGTTACTGAAGTGCTACTTTTATGTTAGCTTGCTGTAACAAAACATTTTAACTGAATGTTCATTTTATACTGCTATATTTTACAAACGCTTACATATGTATCACAACTCTCTCACATAGCTTACACAATGTACGTATTCTCTACGAGCCAACACTATTGATTAATTTTATTTTAATTTTGTATTCTAATTATGTTAATTAATTTGATCTTGTGCAGAGCTCTTAACTACGAATTGTCTAAGTTAATTTACCATAGATAGCCAACGTGACAACTATCTATGTTTCGATGTAAGGAAGCAATTCTGGATTCACGTTATGTTTAATATGCTGCTCTCACTTTTTTTCTATAGAACACGCAGGAGAGGTTTTTTCGAGAGTCTTAGGAGATCGTTCCGTGGAAAGAAGGAGCAGCGCGATGCATCAGACGCGCGATTATGTCCTAAAACGTATGTAAATACTATCCACGCGTTTTATTATTAGGGTGAGTCATAACTCCGTGTGTTATTTCATGTTCCAGAGTACTTACTTTCATATTAACCCCTTGCCCTACAATATCGTGTTAGACTCGCGGTGAAAATTTCGAATAGAATTTAATAAACATAAATATTATTCAATTTCTTTGAATGCAAATTACATATTATTCCTCTGTTATCAGTGATTATGCCTTTGAGCATACGTTGACATAAAATAACACTGGAATTTTCTCTTATGTACAATAAATTATTAATAACGAAGTAGTTAGATCGATCACAGTTCAGAAAAAAATCATACGGCAACGGGTTAACTTTTAGTCTTCTGACTGTTAAGTACTATTTGTTTTTCATTTTATACAAGAACATGTTAGAATTCGTTATTCCTAATCGAAAGGAAATGAGAAAAGTAATAAAAAGGAATATTCATGGAAAATCTAAACGTTTTTGATATCATGTATTATAATAAGAGTTAGGCAATATTTATATAATGCTATTAATATTTCTTATGTAATATTTGTATTTATGACACGGACAGTCAGGAGGTTAAAGTGGGTAATATTATTCTATGACACCTTAAGGCTTGAGGCTTCAAAGATTCGAGATTTATAGAACTCTGAACCTTCAAGATTCAGCCCTTAAGGTTGAGTCCAGAAGCTTCCACGACTCAGCCTTTAAGGGCTGAATCTTGTAGTTTCTATATCACGGGATTTACAAAACCTTAAGCTTCCAAGGCGCAGAATCAGTTTTTAAGGTTGAGGCTTGAAGTTTCTAGGTCTCGAGCTTTTTATAACATTATACTCTAATATCAGGTTCAGACGACAGTGACTTCTCTGCAGCGAATCCTCGCCGCGTTAAGCAGGGAACAGAAATTCAACGTGATCCAATGCAGTCATATTACGACGCGTGTGAAAATGTACAAAGTGCTGCATCGTGAGAGCATGAGATATGCATATTTACGCTCGAGGCGGGGAATAGATGGAGCGAAAGGGGGGAAATTAACATTTCCACGGTGGAATTAATTTTACGCGGAAGTTCGTGGATATATATAGTATCATGGATAACACAATAATGTCGAGTTTTTATTCTCAATTCATTTGTCACTACTTAATCTTAATATTAAATGGCATGTGTTAAGTAACGTAAAATTTTCATGTTATTCTCGAAGAGAAAATTATACAAATTTTATCTATTTTACATTACGTTGTAGTTAAGTACTTGAACATTATACAAAAGCTCAGAAGTTTTGTTGAAAGATAAGGATCTTTGGAATTGGGTATTTAGTACTAAATGTTTATCTACCCGTCCAATCATTGATTGACAAGGAAGATCAGTAACGTGTATCTAATGAAACACGATATACCAATATTATTCAATTTATGCTTTGAATCATTAATATTGTATTTTATTTGCAAAAGACTGGTTTTCTATGCATTTCATTTCAACATATTGACACAAATAAGTCAATAAGGGAAACATTGAACTCAGTTTTTACTCGTTCGGTTATTCTCTTCTCATAATATCGTTTTGTTTTTAAAACAATTGAGGTAGATGATGAATTTGATTTGAATATCAACATAATCCTGCCTGTACTATGGCAATCAAGGCAAGATTCAGGCACTAGTTGAAATGTTGTGTGTAATACAGTGCAAGCTGTTTCGATAGCATTGCACACTGCTTAACGCTATGATTGCAGTACATACACCTCTACAGTATTTGTAGTCTTCGAATACAGTATTCGAAGATAACATTCCTTCGAGTACAGGAAAGATGTACTTACAATAATAAACGGTTTGCAAAGAAAGGTCTTTACTTTTATATGTTCAAGTTAATATTTCAGAATTTTTGTACATTTCTAGTATAAAAGTATTTACTACAGAAAAAAATTAACGAGATGCAAATTTCAATGTGGTCCGGTTTATTTACAATCATTTTAATTATTCATGAGGGAACTGAAGCCTTATGTCATACAATTGTGTTGCCATCTCTATAAAAATTTGTCGTCGTATATACTTCTTCGGTAACATAATAAATAAAACAACATAATCTAATTATTATTTGAGGACAGTTACTCGAAAGAGAATGATTAACACGTTTGTTAAAATAAGACTTAAGTCATTGAATAGCCTCTTGGCAGTTGTCGGTAGATAAAGTACTGACATTCCCACTAGCAAGTAAGCTGCGAGCACAACGAGCAGAGCTTTTTTCGTATTTCATTCTCACGAAATAGACGCCCAGCGCGGGATAATTTTCACCCGCATATTTGTTCCAGTCCCTGAATATCGATGCTTGCCGGGCATATCACTGGTCGATACACGACCAAAAAAAAAAGTAGACGATGCTGAAATACCAGAGTAAAAATGCGCGGTTTGAGGTTCGGTGTTAGTTTGCTATGCAGGCAGCTTTTTATGTCACTCGTAAAATGTTGAGTCTCGAAAGGATACCCCGCTGGAACTGTGCCACCTTTCAACATGCAAGAAATAATGTCCGCTACGAAAGTTTAAGGCCGGACAGGGGTTGCGCGAGTTCTCGGAAACTTTTCGACATTTACGCGATTGCTGATGTAATAAGGGGTCACGGAAGTCAGCCGCAAACAGTATAATTATTTAAATCGTTTAACGTTGCTTCAAGTTTTGCGAATATTTGATACGTGCGATACATAACACTATTCGCATTTGTGGGTTGTTTCAGTTTATGGTAAACTTCAACAGTTTATTGTATGGTATTATATAGTGGAAACAGGAAGAAATATGTGACAACCATTTATCGTAAAAATATCTTGATGAATCTGAAGTAACAATTATAGGCAATGCAGCTAATTAAGGGAAAGAAAAATTTTATTAATTTGATTTTATTCTTCTTACCACCTTTTTTATCGAATATTTACCATTTGCTCGTGCTAAGTATTACGATTTTGGAATCACCTTTTGTTCCGAAATGCCCGGGATGTTGAGGATTGATAGAATTACAACGATTTGACTCATTTGTGTATCTTGATTTGGTTAAACTATAGTGCTTTTAAGCCCTATAATACATTCGAAAGCTCTTGGAGCTTTGAAACTACCAGCGTCTTCTAAGATCCCTGCGATACACCGAGGTTAATACGAGTCTGTATGCTGTGGTTTAATTCAATTTGAGTCTCGAGGGTTTGCCAATAAGACTGTCGCTCAACAGGTTAGGTGAATGTCTCTCGTGCAGAATGCCATTTTTATCCGGTAAAATACACTTTGGGTATAATATACACCAGTTAATTTATCCATTTTCTTTAAGCAGGAAAAGGAATTGTAATTTTAACTTTAAAGTACGGTGTGTACAATGTAAACTGCAATTTAGTAGTTTAAAATCTCTATATACAGAGAATTTTCTTGAATTGTTTATTGCACTACTCAAATTTTAAACGTTTCCGTTTTATTTTTAACCCATTTAGCCAACTCAGTGTTGGACTTTTGAATGTTATGTGGTAGAACTTAAATGAATTTGAAAAGGTGAACCATGGAAGATGAAAGACAGATTATCCTTAGTATTATAGCTAACAATATTTGTGAAAAATGTTTTTTTCATAAATTATTCGATACTACTTTTTAAATCTTTATTTAAATATGGTTCGACTCACGCATTACAAGTCCAGCACGTTATTTTAGCTGAATGAGTTAAATTATTCTGAATCCTCATATCGATACTGAATGGTTCCTCAGTCCCATATATATACATGTTTCCATAAATATAGAATGTTCCTTGCAACTAGGTTGTCCTCGATATCAATTGCCACAAATCCGAAATCGTCGCTGTATCGAGGTGTAAGTCCATGATCGTCTGCGTTCAGTCCCACGAGTGCGCTGTCGTCTGTTGCGATTTCCACGGTTGTAATGCTGTTATATCGCGTCTCAGAGGTATACAGGGTGTACAGTTTATCGCAATCTGTCGCAACGGTTCCTCCGGCACTTTTGTTTATTGTACATACAATTTTCTGAACGAAAGTTAATTAGTTTTTACTAGGTTCTTTAACTAGCGATCACAAAATTTTCAAAATATGATTTTCTTCAAGAAAACTTTAAGATTACCTCGACCTTTTTAAGCTTCACGGCATATTTCGGATCGCATAGCTTTGCAATCGTTATTAAAACGAATTCAAAGGCTTATTATAACATGACCTTGCGATGACGTTCATTTCCAAAATTTCGTCTAAATTAGATCTAGCTTAGTATAATTTGATCGAAATGAAATATTCCTTTAATTTGATATGTGCCTTGATTAACTATAGTAAGTCGTAAAATGCGTTTTAATAACGGTTACAGAAGTGTGTGATCCAAAACATGTCGTGCCGTTTCAAAAAGTTTAGATTATCTTACAGTTTTTTTGAAAAATCAATTGTTGAACAATTTTTTTCATTGCAAGTTATAATCCATTGAAAATTGATTAACTTTTGTTCCGAACATTTTTCTTGTACAATGGGCGGTACAAAGTGCCAGGATAATCTTTACGATCGATAAATTGTACACCCTGTATAGCCTCAGGTCGAGTTGCGTTCGAGTGTGCTAAGGTTTTTCTTGTCGAAACCTTGTCTATCTTAGAATACTCGCTATCCCGAATCCCAGGTGTTCGAAGACATCCGCGATTATCCCGTGAACGAAGTACGAAATTAATCCTATTATCGCATTTCACTTCGATATATCCGTTCTGAATTTCCCAAGTGGAATTATACCAATATCGCTCGAACATGGGCATTTATAATAGTTATATAAATAAAAATTTGTTTAAATAATTGTTTACATAAACATATTCTTTATTTTGGGAACGTTCGGTTATCCTCATTATTCGTCGAAAGTTATGTAAATAAATTATATACACGTAATTAAACATCCTCAACTGATTGAGCTTTACAATCGATAGTACTCAATTTACGCAGTAGTAAAGAAAGTTTTCTATAATTATTTCGAAAATTAAAAGAAATCGCCGGTTTTTTCACAGGGAAAACT